TTCTTTTAGGATTAGAGTAAATTAATCTGTGAGACCTTTGGCGTGGTCAGATACATCAGTCGAAAGGGTTTGACCTCCCGAGTCCAAAACTGTAATTAGATCTCAAATTGGTCACGAGATGACGGAGCTATGAGCTAAAAGTTTGAAAAAAAACAAAAAAAAAACTCAAAGTCATTCTATGAGCCATTGTGCCGCGGCTAAAAAAAAACAAATTCTTCTTACACTGGCACCAAATGATAATGCTTTACGAGCCACAGTAGATAGAGCGTTTATCAAACCAAACATAACACATGCTTGAGTATCTTTATATTATGTCTCAGAGTATCGCAAAAAAACAATTTATTAATAAAAAACAAGGCTATGTTGCCAGGCAACATAGTTTAAAGAGTACTTTTATCTAATAAACATGAGCACTTTTGTAGTAGCGTATTTAAACAGGGATAACAACTTACTTCTTTCATTAAATGTTTAACAGAAATAATACTTTATCAACACATATTTAAAGACTACCTTCAAACAGTGCTAAAGTTATTTGTCTCTTGATATACTTTTAGGCGTAATTTAGACGGAAGCCGAAGAGGACACTACCTTTTTACATTTCAACAGCAATACCGCATTTTTCACTATAGCCTAAATTACTCACTGGTCTGTTTGTTTTGAATTTCGCGCAAAGCTACACGAGGGCTATCTGCGCTAGCCGTCCCTAATTTAGTAGTGTAAGGCTAGAGGGAGGGCAGCTAGTCATCACCACCCACCGCCAACTCTTAGGCTACTCTTTTACCAACGAATAGTGGGATTGACTGAGACATTATAACGCCCCCACGGCTGAAAGGGCGAGCATGTTTGGTGTGATGGGGAGTCGAACCCGCGACCCTCAGATTGCTAGTCGAGCGCCCTAACCACTTGGCCCTCACTGATCTCGTATGGTTCAGCGGAAAAACCAGTCCTAGTGAGTATTTATAAAGAGTAACCATCCTCCACCTCTAATTTTGGTAACAAAGTTACACTTCTGGATATACTGTTAAACTCGCATTTTTTATTTGGTTCAAGATCGTCTATTTCTGTTCCATCCCCTCCCCCTTTTTTAAAGTCAACTAGCTAACTCGACGCATACAAATATATGCTTACTTCGCACGTCTACCTGTCAAGGCGAAGTACACAAATAACAAACGTTTAACGAACGACCGACAGCTCAAGGAACAATTTACCAATGGAACCAACGTCTCCACTATTTCTTACAACCACTGTAAACAAGTCAAATTAATGCATCCAATATTTCTCAATATGTATATCATTATATACATAAGCAGCAGCGAGACAGAGAAATATTTTATCAAAATTATAAATACTATATATTTTTTGTATACGTAGGCAGGTGTAAAATCAATTAAAAGCCCATAGAAATTTTCTTTAAAAATAAATTACAAACTACTTTTTTAAACATTTTAATTTTGATCTAGAAACTCGTACTACAGTAATTTCCCTTTATTCACGAGGTTGCTCCCCCCCCCAGTGGCTTATCGGTAACTCTGCCGGCTTACGATGCTAAAATTAGGGTTTCGATACCCATGGTAGGCAGAGCACAGATAGCCCATAATGTAGCTTTGTACTGGACAACACTAAACCAAATTTCCAATGTCCAACTAGAGGCGTTACTCTGTTTTCAAAAAGTTTGTAAATTATGTCTATGAATTGCATGTATATATATATAGATGAGTACGTTATATTAAAACGATTTTGAAGCCTCACCATTGTAGTCACGTCCAGTCATGCTCTATCTAAAGGCCGTACATCTTGGCAATACCCCTTTGCTTACCGTGGATAGGTTACGACTTGTTGCACGTCTCTGTCTCGATAGTCCAGAGTCTCCAAGTTGATCCATACTCTTTTGTTCCACAATGTCATTTAGTACAAGAGTAATCCCCGTCTTGGAAATTCTAAATACCCAATCTGAACAAAAACTTTATGATTGTGAATATTTTGCGTAGAAAGGCCTGATACGTATTCTACCTAAAAGCGATCAATTTTCAGTGGCGCCATATCACCTACAAAACGCAAACAATTTCAAAATGTTCCAACGCGAATTTTTGTCGGCTATTGTTGTTGTCACATGACTTGCTTATTTGCTTATTGAAAATCGTTTTAATATAAAGTACTAAACTCTCTGTATATATATATTTTTTGCTTTATTCCTTCTATTTTACTTTCTGTTGTGATTTATGGTTGTCAATCGCTTAGATAAAACGTCAGGGCTACAATGTTTTTTAATATTTACAAACGAGTTTTAAATATCTTGTCCTTATTTCTAGATACCTTGTATCAACGTGTTTACATAGATTTAAGTTACTGAGGAAATATGGTATTCCTTGCAATGGTACTGTGTTGTTTGTCTGTCAGTCAGTAGACACTAAAGTGACGTTACGTAAAGGACGCTTGACGTTGCATTTTTTACTGTTGTGACGTCAGTGAAACATGCGCTTGCCATGAAACACGATAAAAATTATGCACTCTGTAGGCTACAACACAACATGACATGTAAACTTCAAAAGCAAGAAATACAAATATTTGTTACTCTTAATTTTGGTTTTATTTACAGAATACTTTCGGGGGACCCTGCAGAAGTACTTCTAGGTTAACTTGAAGAGCCACGCTGAGGCTACAAATAAACCAAGGTTTCCACAACACATGTTAATAATTCAATACTTTGGAGAATTCTGTATAGGGTGTTTCATTGTTTTTTTATTGTGTTTGCTAAATGTTGTATATATACAAAGACAGAGAGAAATCCCTATATACATTCCTAGTGTTATTTATTTGTTTGTTGAATTTTGCATAAAACTGCTCGAGGCTTATCTGCTCTGGCCTTCTCTAATTTTTAAGTGATAGATTAGAAGGAAGGCATATAGTTAACACTACCTATCCCACCCCCACCCCCCAGTTCTTGGGCCACTTTTTATCAACGAATAATAGGAACGAACGTCTGGCCTGGATTGTAAATCAGAGGATTCATATCTCTTTTCTGTAGAAACACACTTCACACTTTGAAGCCATGACTAAACTATAATCAGTTAGAGAAGAGTTGGTGATGTTAATTTTATAAATCGTCAACTATCAAAACAGTTATAATTCACAATGATTCTGCTGATAAAATATACATCATCAACCATGATGTTTTTCTTTAGAAATTATACAAAGTTGCTGAGTACATTATATTTAAACAACTCTGTAATATGATGCCAATGAAAGCTGTCCTCTTTTGGGAAGGTTATATAACAGTCTAATCTGACACAAAATATTCATAAACTCAGACAGAAATATTGGGAATTCAGGATATCCCTTATACTTAATGGCATTGTAAAATGAAGAAACATGGATCAATCTGGGGTACCATCTAGACTTGTAACAGCCATGCTAATCAAAGTATGGTGTCTTGTAACAAATACATAATATACAGTTAGTACCAAAAATCTCTACATGGTCTGTAGAGTTTACACATTAAACCATTTGTATTTTTATACTTTCACTGCTCACTGGTTATTTCTGCTTCAGAACAAAATTAAATGCTTACCTAAACCTGTGCTTTTATTTTGGTCTTAATTTTTTACACTTTTTACAATGATGTTCAAACTTTTATTGGAGGACTCAACTATACAAGGGGTACTAACTTTAATGGGTCAAAAGACTGAAAGCTTAAAAAGTTAAACAATAAGCATAAGAATCTGATGGATCAACAGATTAAAACATGTCTGTATGGGCAGAAATAGAAGTAAATTTGAACGGTTTTTTTCAAGGAGCGTGATAATTTACATGATCTTCTTGTCTTTTCTTTTGCCATATATAAAAATATGTAAGTGAAATAAATTCTTTAAAATAATTTTTACTTATATTTAGAACAGGTTTGAGTGGGTCATCAAAACAAGAACTAACAAGACACATGGTTAACTTATGTTTCAAAGTGATTAAAGTTCTTTATTTAACGTTTGAATCACTCTAAATGTCTTTACTTTTTTTTAAAAAAAAGGTAAAAATTTCTTGCATGGAAGTTTTCGTTAACATCCTTACATGTTGACTGTATTTCATCAAAGGCTCCTAGCCTGATGCAACCACTTTTTGATAATCATCTTCTCCAGAAGCCTAGCCTTAATAACTGTTGGTGGGTCCGCTGAGTTGGCTGAACGCAAGTCAAGATGGTGAGTAGCTCCTGGGATGGTTATAGCCACCAGGGATTCAGACAAGGACTTCAGGATCCCTCCACCACTCCACGGGTCTAGAAGTCCATTACTATAAAAGATCCAGCAAAATGTGTCACTAACTTTGCTCTTTCTGACTACAACTAATCTGTACATTGTGTCTCTATCTTTGCTCTTTCTGACTACAACTAATCTGTACATTGTGTCATTATCTTTGCTCTTTCTGACTACAACTCATCTGTACACTGTGTCTCTATCTTTGCTCTTTCTGACTACAACTAATTTGTACACTGTGTCTCTATCTTTGCTCTTTCTGACTACAAATAATCTGTACACTGTGTCTCTATCTTTGCTCTTTCTGACTACAACTAATCTGTACACTGTGTCTCTATCTTTGCTCTTTCTGACTACAAATAATTTGTACACTGTGTCTCTATCTTTGCTCTTTCTGACTACAACTAATCTGTACATTGTGTCTCTATCTTTGCTCTTTCTGACTACAAATAATCTGTACATTGTGTCTCTATCTTTGCTCTTTCTGACTACAACTAATCTGTACATTGTGTCTCTATCTTTGCTCTTTCTGACTACAACTAATCTGTA